GGGAGACCAGAGAGCACGAGGGAAGGAAAATCACTAGTAAGTGATCCTGGAATACTGCTGAGTTATTCTGAAGAAAAATAAAAAGAAAGAATTAAAGCAGGGGTCCTCAAACTACGGCCCGCGGGCCACATGCAAATACAAATATTGTATTTGTTCCCGTTTTGTTTTTTTACTTCAAAATAAGGTATGTGCAGTGTGCATAGGAATGTGTTCATAGTTTTTTTTTTAACTATAGTCCGGCCCTCCAACGGTCTGAGGGACAGTGAACTGGCCCCCTGTTTAAAAAATTTGAGGACCCCTGAATTAAAGTAAGAAATAGCTAAAACAATTAATGATAATAATGTATGACAAGAGACAAAGTCTTCATCTCTCAAATCTCTGGACAAAAAAAAAAAAAAGACTGGCAGCTTCCAATGCAAACAAATTAAACACTTGGGCAAGTCAGAAAGCAAACATAATTAATAGAAATGAACTTTAAAAAATGTAAAAAGCAAACACTTTTTTAAAAATTGGCAGATGTCCCTCATGTACAGGGAAGTTATGCAAATTAAGACCAAGGCTCTGAGGAGAGTAATAAGGAATCAGGCAAAGGGAAGAACAGACAACTGAGGAAGTCGATGAGAATCACTGGCCCACAGAGGATGCAGTTTCACTAGGAAGTCCGGGGAGACAGCGAGGCTCTGAGGCCCTGGAGCAGGAGTGGGGCAGAGGGCACGGAGGTACCCATAGCTAAAAGCTTCGTGCCAGCGCTTAACCTTCTGGGAACCCATTCCACACAGATGTTCATTAAAGTATTACGTGTTATGGTTAAAGAGGGGATGGACGATTCCATGTCCAAAAAACTCAAAACAAAACACCCAAGCTTAATTTCTAAGTGAAAAATTTCAAAGATGACATCCTTGCCTCACTTCTTTAACTTCCACAATTTAGGAAAAGTAACTTTATACTGAACTGAAAACCTTCAACAAGCACTTCCCTGCACTGGCTCGCTCTCTCCCCACTTCGTTATTTCTGTCATATGAGTCTATCCTTCGGCAAACCCAGGCCAGGCCTGTTCCCTGCAGCTTCCCAGTGATAACTTCTGCTGTTTTAAACGCATAGGGACCCTCGGCCTGAGAACAGGAGGCTCTGCTGTCCCTCCTGTATCAGGATTAAATGCAGCCAATCATACAAAGATACGAGTCGCTGAAACATGGATGACTGGTACATATTTCCAGAGAATTAAAATTGGATCACATCTTCCAGGTGTGACCTCCAGTAAGGAGGTGCTCTCTGTCCCGGTGTCATGAGCTCACGTACGTGTGTAAGAGCCACATCACTTTCCCTGTCTTTGTTCATCCCCCCAATGGCAGATCTGCTTCCAAGCCACAGGAGTGTTTTCCCATAGATACTGTGATTAAGGCAAAGAAATGACTCTCACATGTTTAGGCACTTATCTGATACAGTTTGCTGTACCTTCCAATGAGGTTTTAGATAGCCGTTTTGAAGTCTTTGTTGCCACTGACCTGGGTGCTCTACTGGAAACCTCCGTCTTAAAGAGAATGAAAAAAATTAATTGATGCATCACCCAGAGATCCACGAGCAGATTTATGATCCAAGCTCCGCTCGCGGAAGAACAGGACACAGAACAAGGGAATCCATACTCTTTAGAGGGACTGACACCCACTAGGTGCATTTAAAGCACTGAGGAGTCAGAGGGAGGCTGAGCCCGCTCTCGCTCTAGATTTAGGATCCTGTCTTCTGTACAGCCCTGAGCAGGCCAGCAACTCAACCTTATTCAACCGCTACGGCAACACACTTTATCACGCATCCGTAGACAACTGTGAGCCCAGATCAGAGAAAATAGCTCATCCGACCCCTCCCACCACTGGCAGTTCCTGCCTTGCCACCTCCCTCAACCAGCCATGACGGCCTCCTAACTGACCTCCTAACTGGCCTCCCAACCTCAGCCCCACCCCTCGTCCCTCTTTCCTGCAGCTGCCTGGGGGCGCTCTCTGAAAGCAAGTTAGACTGTGAGAGCTGGGAAGTCTAACCTCCCTAGGATGGCCCACATGGAGAGGAAGGGCCCAGCCTCAACCACCCCCTGCCACTGGAGACGCTGCGGGGTCCCACACAGCCCCGCAGAGCCTGGCCTCTGTCTCCCTGTCTGCCTGGTGACTAGTCCTCTCCCAGACTCATCCAAAGTGCCACCTCCCCCTCTCGCGAATGACTACCTTGTCCCTTTGTACACCATTCATAGCACTTGCCAAATGAAGCTTTAAGGAAGCCCAGGGGTCCACACAGGAGACCGGAGGATTGCACTCCCCAGCTGTGTGTCCAGGCAGTAAGCCACTCAAATCATCGCTCCTACGACAAGCTGAACAGGGCCCTCCGGCCTGCAGCCCGCGCTGCACGCTCCTCCCGTCTTGTGGCTAGGAGAGGCCCCGGCACAGCAGTTACTATTTCCACACAGCCACGGCTTTGCGTCTCTTAAAGTTATTTTTAAAAGCTTACCTCTGTTTCAGCTTTGGAGTCTTTAAAAGATCCATCGGACAACTTTTTAGACATCTCCCCGGAGCTTGATGACTATTAAAAAAAAGTGTTTTTCTTCAAATTCTAGAATTATTCAAATTCACTACATCTAAAATGACATCCAAATGCAAGATGCTTCTTGCTGACAACAGTGAGATAACCATTCCCCGTGTCCCACTGCACATCGGACCCCTGTGGCTGTTAGCTGCTTGGATCCCAAAAGACCATCCAGACCACTCCGACATGGGCAGAACAGGGGAAGCACGCTCAGGGCAGTGCCTCTCGGGGAAACTGCAGGACAGTGTCTCCTGGCGCCAGGCCAAACCTCTCGGGCACATCGTGGTGAGACACAGGGACCCGGCCACGGGGGAGAGTGGCCCACTCCCTCCCCGGCTCTGAGAGCCAGGCACTCTCAAAGGAAGGCTCCAGATTGTGCGCCAGGAAAGCCCTCTTTAGACAAATTGCAGGGAAACTGAAAACCACCTCGCACCTTGAATCAAATTCCCTGGAAGACATATCTCGTACTGGGAGAGGAGATACAATCACTGAGGTTCCTCTGTGAAGACAGAGGGCATTATGCCTGGTCAACATTTCGACGACTAAATGTCCTCATCACTTAGTCCTGACGGGACAGACGGCACTGGCCATATGACCCTGCTCAGGACGCCCCCAGCCCAGGTGCACCCTACTGTCTCCTCAGAGGAGACAGGGTGTCACGCCCACAGATGGCCTGGGTCCTTCACCCCCACACATGTCACTGTGACTTCTCAGAGCACTTCACATCCACCATTTCACCTTTTCCTCACAAACCCCGGAGGGAGGCTGAGAATGCCATCTAAGCTGGACAGAGTCGAAGGGAGGCAACTCCCACCTCCCAAACCATCGGTTACATACAGAAGTCGGGACTGGTGTCTGTCTGTCTCTCTCTGGCGGCCCAGCTCCAAGCAGGAACAGTGCCTTCTCCCTAGTCTCGCATACATTTACACAAAACCATTGCTCTTACTTGGCTCCAA